TGTATGTGTGCCACATACATGCTTGCTTCCCAGAGAAGTAAGAAAAAAAAAAGTGTCAGATCCCCTGGAACTGGGGGTACAGAAGGTTCTGAGCTACTGTGCAGGTAGTGGGAACTGAACCTGGTCCTTTGCAAGAGCGGCAAATGTTCTTTCCCGCAGAGCCATTTCATTCGTCCTAGAATTTGTGTGCTTTAACTGCTCAATAACCTGTGTTGCTTCCTCGTGGACCCAGGCGTCAAATTCCAACTTCCCTGTGATCTCCACCCGCGACACCAGTTCCTCCCTGCATTTCAGTTGCTCCTTCTTTGTCCTTCCATAGCACAGTGCTCTCGGCTACAGCTGGCCCTCCACTTGACTTCCCCTTCCGTGCCATCAACGGTAGGTTCTACCTAGCAGCAGATTACCTTGCGTCTTTTCTTAAGCTCTTACCCAAGTAGACTGGTAGCTAGGCAAAAGTGCATCCCCTAGTCTCAAATGTTATGTTTATTTTCTCAACTCTCTTTCCTTGATGATAACTCATAAAATAGATGCTCGATAATACAGACTCATTGAACGTATTGCATTCTTCTGGAATAGGCGCTTTTCAGGCTAACTTTAAATAGCTGAATATTCTAAATATTTTATCATTTGAATGTCATCATAGATACATAGATACATACATACATATATGTATTTATATACATACGTATATACCTGACAAGTGGTAGCTCTTGGCAGCTACAAGACTAAAGCATGTATGAGGATGTACGTATATTTAAAATTTCCCATTCCTCATTTACAGCAGTTCGCAGTACGTCTAAATAGAGAGAGCTGTGTTGCTTCTACTAGGGATAAAAGGCTATTTCCCTTCAAGTATAAGCATTTCTTCTCACATGTCAGTGGCTTCTGTCATTAAAAAGTCACGAAATATGCAGATATTACTCCAAAAACCACTTAGGAAATAACTAAAGAACGTAATTGTCAATCCCACCAACAATTAGGATCCTTAGTAGTATATCCATGCTTTATCATAAAAGCCTTTTAACAGCAATAACCACGTTTGCCTACAATAAGCTTAAAAAAAAATGGCCTGTTCACTTACTGTTTCAAGCAGTTCTGGAGTCCTTTCCCTTCCTCCACTGACCATGGCTTAAGTCAGCTTTGAGGACCTGCATTCCTCTACCCTGTCTTCTTTTGCTTCATTTTGGAAGCCTGGTGCTGCCAACTCCAAGGCATCCTAACCAGGTCTCTTTTTGGCTGTCCTTGCTGGTCTAGCCAGGTAGGTATCTCATGCATGAGACAGATTCAAGGGCCATATTCGTACCTCTCCATCCTCATTATTAAGCGATCGTGGAGTGGAGTTGAGATCACATTATTAATTTGGATTCTCCAAGTTTTTGCTTCAGTCAGCTCCTAGGACGAATGCAGCAAGTTGGATAACTGGTTGTTACACTGCATTCTGAAGACAGCGTTCCCTTTGCCAGTCTCTCCTTTGTCTACAGAGAACCTCTTTTCTTTCCTGTAGAACGCAGTTTCTGACAGTTCAGCCCCCAGTCCAGCAGCCCTTTCCCTTAGAAAGCTACTTATGCAGATTCCTAGGCCATGTGCTGAAACTCCTGAAACTGAATCTATATTCTTCAAATCTATTCCTATAGGTGGTGGCTTCCTTTAAAGTTGCTCATGGAAGAAGTTCTGGCCACAGGAGCAGCAGGCGCCGGTGGCCTTCTGGATCCCACCTAGCATCCTGACCTGTTCACTATCCTCAGCCATCTTGTACCTTCTCTCCACTTTACTCCCTGCGGACTCTGGCGAGCTAGTTACAGAGCACTACAGCTGAGCCAATAGAGGGCGCTCTTCTAGCCAATTAGTCAGCATTAAGCCCATCTGATGGATTCTGGGCTGAGAGGTGAGCTCCTTGGATAGGATGCAGGACGGCGGCCCTCACCACTTGTGGTCATTACGGGTCCTGTGGTGCCCTTTGTGAAAGGAGAGATTGTTAACCTCGGTGTCCTGGCTGACTTCCAATCCGTGTAATTGCATACAGCCTACCTAAGTCAGCTCTGTAGTTTCAATTAGGTAAAGCATTGTTCACGTCTTGTATTAAACTGCTGCGCTGTGTGGCGGCAGACTGCTAATTAGCTTGTGTTTTTCGAGAGGATGCATGATGGCCAGAACGCCGCCCTCTGGTCATCTCCTCCCCTGCTCAGCTTTCTCCAGTGCCCTATCCAAGTGCATGCTTCTTTTCTCCTGGACTTCTGCTTCCTGGGTTAAAGAGCATTGGGGTCAGAAGTCACTAGATGTGGCAACGACTATTGCCTTAGCTTCTTTTGGTAGCCATCTTCTCCTAGTTTATCATTGGTGTAGGGGGTGGGGCTACAGTAAGTGGCGGAGAATAGGCTTCCTACTGACGCCTAAAGGAAGGAAGGCAAAGGAAAAATAAATTCCCTTCAAGATGTGGAGCAAGGTCCTGTGATTGCCAGGGAAGTACTAATTGCTTTAGGGTCCTGGCACCCCAGGAAATGCCTATTTCCATTATGATGGCAATGAATGGAGGATGAAGTTAGCGAAAACAGAAGATGCACCCTGTCTCTCCTTTCTCCAAGTTAGAAAAATTTAGCAAGACATGTGGACTGCCAGTCAAATGTCTCACTACGTCTGCGGGGACTGCTTGGTCCTAACCAGGAGGAAGAGAACAGGCTCGTTCTTGGAAGGCTGATGGGTCAGCACTAGGGAAATGCGGCTCAGCAGTGGCAGCTGAGAACGAAAGTGTGAAAGAAGCTGGGTGAACTGGAAGCCAACAGGGCATGCTTGTGTCCTCGCTAGAGAAACAATGCCCTGGAGAGGAAAACGTTTTCCGGGATGCATAGTTTTACTTAAAGAAATGTCGAAATGGAGGCAAGCAATGCACATTTGGGCAAGGTATCTCTGCATGCCTTTTCATGGCGTGAGCGTGAACACATCCATTCTAAGACGATGCCCAAGAACACAAGCACAGATTTTAAACTGTCCTTTAGGGCGGTTTCTTCTATTGTTTTCCATAGCTCGACACTCTGGGAAATAGTGAAAATCAGCGAAGGAAATAGACAAATGAGCGAACAATACTGGTAGAGAGAAGCCATGGCAGGGCTGTGTGGGGTAGCAGCTCAGGAAGAGCAGTCCCAGAAAGGGCGTTTAGTCAGTGCCAGATACCAGCCTGCCGTGACGACCGTCGAGTTCGGCTTCAGTGTTTGACTGTTTCAGTGACAACTGGGGGAAAGGAAATGACAGGAAATGACATACTCAGCCTGATGCAGAGACTGAATCCCGAAGATCAACTGCGTTATGGCTTTCAGTCAGAAGAGAGGTAAATAGAGTCAGAATATAGTAGCTGAGAATGCAATTCTGGCATGGGAACATTCACAGGCCTTGGCAGGGAGGTCAGTACTGCGGCTGAACAAGGTCCCTACATCCAAGATACTTTCTACTTCCCTGGTAAACTTGTCTCCATTTCCAGCTTACCGTCGATCATACGTGTTTACCAAATACACATGATACCAAATATATGTTCGTTCCATGCATGAATAAATGGGCAGAGGGATTACATGAGTAATAGTGGTTGGCCTGCACTATTATCCCTACCGTGTAGGACAGGGCAAGACGGTGAAAAGAAAGAGGAATGCTGGGAGAAAAACTCATCACCAAGAATATAGTCAAGATTTAGGAAAGGAGATGAAATTACTAGATGTGATACTTGAGAATCTGTACAAAGCTTGTGTGTTTTGTTTTTTTGAATCCCTTTTGCACATGTTAGCAAAAGGTATCCGTGTGAGAATTGTAGACCCAGATATTGTTGAATTGAAGAGAAATAGTCTTAAAATCCATTTTATCTATCTATCTATCTATCTATCTATCTATCTATCTATCTATCTATCTATCTATCTATCTATCTATC